GGGTAATTTGTATTACAAAACCAGCACTATTTTTTCTTGGGGGTGGGAGACATCTTTTATGATACTGTACATCACTAGCTTCAAATTACCACAGACAGAATTGGTAGGTTGGTCATGTTGTTGGCTTAGTGGGAAATTTGTTTCCTATCTTCTTTGACTCTCTTACTATTTTTGCATTTTAAGTACTGTTTCAAAATCACATCATGTGTCCAACAGACTAACAACAGGCAAGCTCTTGCCATCTGCATTGCACATTTCTGAGAAAGGGCTGCTAAATATCAGGAGGTTTCACTTCACAGAAACACCTTCTGGTAAATACACAAGACATTCATCATCCTCCACTTAAAGATTATTGCATTTTTATTCAATAAGTGTACAATTATTTTGAGACTAGCCATATTGTGTAGCAGCCAGTTATCTACCGGATGTCTACATTAGAATCAGATTTGACTATGAATGATAGAAACCCCAAATAATCCTGGCTGCAACAAGTTAGAAATTTATTTCTCTCTCACGTAAACACAGGCAGTGCTAGGCTGCTCGGCAGTTCAATCATCAAAGGCCAAAGCTCTTTTCACTTTTCTGCTCAATTATCCTTAATATATAGGTTTCAACTCCTAGTTTAAGGTGGCTACTCCAGCCCCAGCTTCTACCTCCTCAGTCCAGCAGCAGGAAAGAGGAGGGAAAAGAGCTCTTTGCTGATATTTAAGGTAACTTTTCAGAAGTTGTGTATACTCTCTCATTCATCAGCACTTGGTCACATGGACACACTAGTCAAAGGAAGGATTGGAAACGTAGCCTTGGTCTGGGGTGGCTATGAGCTCAGTTAAAAATTAGGATCTTATTTCTGAGATGAAGGGGTAAATACATATTGAGGACTACTACCAGTGTGTACTACTTTTGGTATTACTGTCATCTAACTGTTGCAGATGACTAGGGTCTGCCGAGACTGAAAAAAATGGTAAAATATTCTTATTGATGTCAAAATTGTGCATTGAGATATTTTTGACTCTTCTTTAATGTGTTAGCTAGTGTGAGACTCTTTTCAAATTTTAGAAGCCATGTGGACACTATGAATTGACTCCAAAATTAAAAATATATAGAGGAGTGCTTGGGTGACTCAGTTAGTTAAGCATTTGACTCTTGATTTCAGGCTCTCCATTGGCAGCATGGAGTCTGCTTGGGATTGATTCTCTTTCCCTCTCAGTTTGCCCCTCCCTGGTTCATTCTCTCTCTCTCTCTCAATAAATAAATAAATAAACATTAAATATATATAATGTTGCAAATAATCTTCCCATAAAGGAACAATAAAAATATTAAGTGGCACATGACACAAAGTAAACAGGTAGACAAATCAGATACTATGAAAATTAGTAACTTCTGTGTGTCAAAGAACACTATCAACACACTGAAGAGACAACCCATGGGAATGGGAGAAAAATATTTACAAATCATATATCTAGGGGAAGGGATTAATATCCAAATATGTAAATAACTCCCTCAACTCAAGAACAATAAAAACCAGTTAAAATGGACAAAAGACATCTAAGGAAAAAGTACAAATGGCCAGTGAACACATGAAAAGTTGCTCAACATCACTGACCATTATGGAAATACAAATCAAAACCACTTTATAACCATTCGGATGGCTAAAATAACAAAGGTTGGTGAGGATGTGGAGACGCTGGAATTCTTGTGCATTGCTGGTGAGACTGTAAAATGGAACAGTCACTGTGGAAAATGATTTAGTGGTTCCTCAAAAAATTAGAAATAGAATTACCATATGATCCAGCAAATTCCACATCTGGGTATATGCCTGAAAGAACTGAAAGCATGGACTTGAGAGATATCTGCAAACCTGTGTTAATAGTGGTATTATTTTCAACAGCTAAAAGGTAGAAGCAACCCAAGCGACCACCAATGGATGAATGAATAAACCAAATGTGATAAATTGATATACTGAATATTATTCAGCCTTAAAAAGAAAGGAAATTCTAACACGTGTTAAATATGGATGAATCTTGAAGATTGTACACTAAGTGCAATAAGCCAGGCAGAAAAGGACCAATACTTTTGAACTCAAACGAAGTGCTTAGAGTAGTCAAATTCATGGTGACAGATAGCAGAATGGTACTTGGAAGGGTTTGGGAGGGGTGGGAATGTGGAGTTATTATTTATTGTTTATGAAGTTTCAGTTTGGGAAGATGAAAAAGTACTAGAGGTGGATGGTGGTGATAGGCACATAACAATGTGAATGGACTTAGTGTGGCTGTACACTTAAAACTGATTAAAATGGCAATTTTACGTTATATATTTTGCCACAATAAAAGATGGTTAAAGGTTTTTGAAAATGTGGCTATTTTTACATACATGCATTTATATAATGCACCTTAAAACCAGTGTCAGAGAATTTTTTGCCAAGAATCTTGATTCTCTTTTGAAATTCTTTTAAAATATTTCAAAAACGTACACAGAGGTAAAGAGAATAACATATAAAGAACACTTTTGCTCCCTTAACCCATCTTTAAGACACTTCAGTTTAGAAGACTGTTTTTGTGAATGGCTACTCCATTTCCCCGACTGTTGAGTACCATTTGTAGGTACTATTCTTCCTGCGATGATTTGAAAAGCCAACTATGAACTCTTCATAGTTGTGAACTTTTAATACTGACAAGTGTATCCCAAGCAAAGCTGTAGGAAAGCTTCCTTATCACAAACTGCAAGAGAAGCAGCACTGTACAGACCATGGTGGAGACTTTTTCTTCCAAGAGCCAGACAGTAAATATTTTAGGCATTGTGGAGCACATTAGGCTTGTTGAATATTCTTGTGTGTGTGTGTGTGGTTTTTTTTTTTTTTCTTTTAAAGTATCCCTATAAAAATTTAAAAACCTTCTCAGCTTGTGAGGTCATATGAAAAAAAGCTGCTTCCAGTCTTGGCCCGGTGGCTGTAATTTACTGACCTCTGGTAGACCTTTGAGGTCCTTCTGGGGCCAACCCACAACAGAGTGGCAGATGTGGGCTGCTATGTAATCATGGTCAGCCAATCTTTAGCGAGGTCAGCAACCTCTGTCTGGGCCCAACTCAAATAGGGAAGCTTCAAGTCTGATTTTATAAATGCATGTATATAAAATAACCACTAAAATTTCTTTAAACCATTTTTTTATTGTGGTAAAATCTTACTGTGGTATTTCATGTAAGTGGAATCCAACAGACCTGGCAGGAACTCTGAGAAGGGAGCATTTAGAAGTGAGCAACTAGGAGAAACAGAGTGGGTGTTAAGAGTGAGACACCTAGAATAGTCTCCGTTTTTCATTCTAGGTTTACATACAAGAAACCCCCCTTTCTTGATGAAATTTAAGTGATATGTTCCTGTAACCAGAAGAATCTGAGTTACTCTTTTTTTTTTTTTTTTTAATTTTTTAATGTTTATTTATTTTTGAGAGACAGAGAGAGGCAGAGCATGAGCAGGGAAGGGGCATAGAGAGGAGGAGACACAGGATCTGAAGCAGACTCCAGGCTCTGAGCTGTCAGCAGAGAGCCGGATGCAGGGCTCGAACCCACAGACTGCGAGATCGTGACCTGAGCCGAAGTCAGACGCTCAGCCGACTGAGCCACCCAGGCTCCCCGTGAGTTACTCTTTATTTACTGCAAATGTAAATTGGTACAAACACTTTGGAAGACGGTCTGGTAATATCCAGTAATGTTGAACATGAGCAAATCAATGACCCAGCAATTCCATGGTTGGGTATTTTACCTAAAGAAATTCTTGTACGTTTGTACCAGAAGATATGTGCACAAGAATGTTTACAGCAGATAATACGTGCCCACAGAGGGCTCTTATTAACCTGGTCAGCTCTGCCACTTACACAGCGGTGTGACCACAGACAAGTTGCTGGTTTCTGTCTCTGTGCCCCATTTCCCTCAGCTGTAGGATAGGATAATTATTGACCATCACAAGGTTGTAGGGATTCAATAAGTTGACTTACATATAATGCTGGGCATATAGCAAATGCCCTATATTCGTCTTAGCTGTTGTTATACCTCATTATAGCAGCATTGTTCATAATAAGAAAAATTGAAAACAACCAACACATCCATCAAGAGGGGATGGATAAACTGTGGTATATTCAAATTACAGACTATTAAACAGCCTACAGTGAAAAGAATGAGCTAGAGCAATACATATATCAAAAGGCATAAATCTTAGAAACAAGTTTAAAAGAAAGAGGCAGGCACTGAAGAACACAGATAGTATACCTCCCTGTTACAAAATAAGCAAAATTAAGCTTACCATGTAGAGACATTTACCAAAAATACGCAGAAAAACAAGGGAACCGGAAAGAAACAAAACTAAGGACAGTGGACAGGGAGATGGGACAGGGAAACACCTCCAGTGACATTTGTAAAGTTCGTAAAGTTTATAACTGGGTATTTTTCTTACTACGGTACAAATGTAGAACAGTAAATCCTAGAGAATCAAATCTGAATGTGAAGATCAGTTATACGTAAAGATAAAATTTACACGGCTATGAACTGAACTTGCTGAAAGTCAGGAAATAAGAATTAAAACAAGGGAAATCGTTAATGTCCTGTATACAGACTTCATTAAGGAACTGAATTGGTTGCAGTTGGCTCTAGAAAATACTTTTTTGATGAAAATTTATCAGTGCTGGTATACTTCTGAGTAAAACGCTTGTCTTCATAAATTCAAAGTCAGTGTGACTTGGGGGGGCGGTCAGGAGAACTAGTTTAAATGATCCCGTACATGGTTAATGATACCTTAACAGTACAATAAGCGTTAAATTTATGGAATGAGATTTACACAGTCACAGGAAGAATAAGAGTTCTGGGTGGAACTTGGGGCAGGTGTCAGGAAAACCCAAATAATCAACTTGTTAGAAGGTAAAACAGCGAGAGAGTAATTCTTCTCTAGAGATAACAGGGATGGGGACACAACCAGGAAATATCGCTATGTGATAAAAAAAGAAGAGTGAATTCTATTGTTTGGGTAGTAAGTTTGATTTACTTTCCCCAAGAGTTAATCAAGCTGGCACATGGAGTTTAGGAGTGGACATATCGGTGGACAGCTTCACTTCCAAAAGCCACTGCATACTTAGCTAGTTTCGTAGGTAACAGCAAGTACACTGCCTTCTGGATGTCTTCAGGGGTGAGGGTGCGGCGATTTCGGAAACACATCATGTTTGAGGCTTCCATAGAAATGTGCTCAAAGATGTCGTTGATCAGGGTGTTCATGATGTCCAAGGTGTGAGAGGATATGCCATTCTGGGGAACCACTTCCTTTAGGACCCTGTTTACGTAGAGTGAATAATTTCTATGGCCAATATCAGTGCTGAAATGTGACTTCTTTCTGGAGATTGGGCTTGGATGTCCTCTGGAGCACTTGTTCTTTTTGGTGGTGGATTTGGCCATTGCAGATGTTGGTGGTCTCCTTATCAGTTACGAGTGTTGAGGTGAAGGGCCTAAGAGTTGGGGAGAGCTCTCATACTTATGTTGATATGCCACAATCGGACTTCTGGGGCTCCTTTTTGATTGGAGGTTACTCTTCCTATGTCACAATCACCTAGCAACAGCACTGATTTGTTGTTAAGGGAAAATCTTGCCCTTGCCCACCTAAAGCTTTCCTAAGAGGACAGAGTGTTGGAGAAGGATTGAGGTTGGCTTCAGGGCAGAAAAGAGTGCTCATTTTTCCTACTCTTTTTCTTGGCAGTTTACAAGCATAACATACAGTATTTTCAGAGTTGGACAAATCTCATCAAATGAGGGAGTTGGTAGCCAGGAAGAAAAGGAAAAAGAACCATATGCTTTTTATGGGAGAATCTCTGTAAAAGTTTTCATAAAGTCATTTTATAAGCAAATGAACAATAAGCCATTAAAAACCTCGAAGTGACCATTTTATAATAAAAAAAACATGTATAGCTAATCTGCTTTTAAAAGTTAATTTAAAAATGAATCCTAACTAAAATGAATCTGAATCCAAACTCCTTCTGAGCAACCATGTACAAAAGGAGAATTAAACAAAAACCTCCCTATTTTACTGTTTAAATTATGATATGTGAACATGTACATAAAATTTTTGTAATGATATTAATACCATTCTTGAAAATTTCACATATTTCATTACATGGTGTGGTTTTTACCTGATACTGTAGTTCTTCTGTCATTATTAACCAAAAGTGTAGGGTCACTCTTGCTCATGTGTTCTGTTGATATCCGTGCTTAAAAAAAAAAAATCTCACCTTAATTAAATTCATCCCTGGAAAAAATAAAAAATAAACAGAAGCAACTATAAAAAATTGCAACTCACAGGTATTTCAATAGTTCACAATTGTACAACTATTAATGCTACTATGAAAAATCTTTCACTGTGAGCTTCCTCACAGATAAGATAGACTGGGCTGTGTCTAATTTCTGGAATGCTATCTGTAATTCCTCACCTTTTTCTATCATTCAAGAAAGTAGATCTGAAATAAGGTGAGTAGGAATAATGTTATTATAGGGAAAATTAAAAAAAATTGAAAGCTTATTTATTTTTGAGAGAGAGAGACACAGAGTGCAAGTGGGGGCGGGGGGCAGAGAGAAGGAGAGACACAGAACCCAAAACGGGCCCCAGGCTCCAAGTTGTCAGCACAGAGCCCTACATGGGGCTTGAACACACAGACTGCCAGATCATGACCTGAGCTGAAGTCGAACACTTAACCAACTGAATCACTCACGCATTTATAGGGAAAATTTTGAAGAGGTTCTAATTTCTAAAGACAACGGCCCCATGTCCGTACTTTATTACTAGCAACACACCTCAAGCCATGTGTCATACTGAGTGGGAGGATGCTGCTTCTGCGCATGCTTTGTGGTGATGGATCTTTCATCAGCTCTTGCTCACTTTGCTTTCAGGTTTTCCCTAGACATGATTACTTAGTTAGCTTAATTACAGAATAGCTTACGTGCTGTCATTTAGAAGAAGCTATTGGGTGGAGCATGTTCACTCCCTCTTCTTCACGAATCCATGCTGAAGAGCTCTTACTATTGTAGCACTCCTGGCCTCTCTCTGCCCCTCACGTCCTCCTCCCTGGGACAGCCGTCCTTAGAATCTCAGCCCCTTCTGGGCTCTTGCTGGGATGTGACTCCAGGCAGGGTTGCTCCTGGGGCTGGGTCACTGGTACTAGCGGGCTATAGCTGAGGTCATTTTGCTGAATTCAGAGGTGTTATAAAAGAAAGCCTGCTGTTACCCCACACATTGGGGCTATTCTTCAGAAAAGTTAATTAGTAATAAAGCTGACATTTTAATCCCTAGGACTCTCAGTTGGTTGTGTGCCTACATGAAGAGAAGGAAGAGTGTATTACAGAAGCTAAAAGAAAAAGTCTTTCAAACCAAAACAATAAGCTGTATGCTAAAATACTGATTGATCAGAAAGTTTAGAAAATGAGGAATACTGATTCTATAAAATTTCTGGCTGCTTTAGGGTTAACCCAAATTCCCTTTTAAAATTTAATGAATCCTTCTAAAATATGTATGAGCTCACCACTGATATGCTGGCTTTTCTTTTCCTTCTCCCTTTCTCTTCCTCCAAACGGTCTGGAACAAGGGACAGACACCTTTTAGCATAATGACCTTCAGGAGATGCCTGTTGGATTATCACTTTGGACAATGGAGCAAATCTGGTTATTTTGCATCTATCTACCCTGAGAATGAACACTGGGAAGCCCTCAGTCTGTCCCCTTCTCCTCTGCCCTCACCCTCAGGGTCCTCACCTTAGAACAAAGCCTGATGTCCTTTTAGCAGGAGACTTGGGAGAGTGAAAGGGGTGATGACCAATGTACCAGAGGTCTGCAGTCTGTGGTCTTGGAGCTGCTCAGTGCAGCTGGAATCCAAAGTTAGGAACTATTTCACGAATTTTTCAAGGCTCTTGTTTTGTGCAAGATCACATTGTCTATTTCAGGCATGGGTTGTATGTCTTCCATGAACGAATATGTGGACTTCTGGGGTTACAACTGCTTATTCTTTCATTTATGGTCGAGGGTCTAGTAATGACTCAAGGTCATCATCAAGACTTTCAGTGATTATTCCACACAGCTATGGCAGAGGTGACATTAATTCAAAATGGAAAACATGCACTGACAGGTGTGAATGTACTCTGGGAACATTTTTACAGCCACTGTATTAGTTTCCTATTGCTGCTGTAACAAATCACCACAAATTTAGCAGCTTAAAATAACAACACAAATTATCTCACAATTTCAGTGGTGGGATCAGTCTGATTGGGCCTCACTGGGCTGCAATCAAGGTATCAGCACGGCTGTGTTCCTTCTAAAAGCTCTAGGGGAAAAGGTGTTTTCTTGCCTTTTCCAGCTTCTGCCTGTGTTTCTTGGCTTTTCCTCTAACTTCAAAGCCAGTAACAGATGGTCAAGTTATTCTCATGCTGTATCACTGATACTGATGACTGAGACTCCTTACCCCCTCTTTCATTTATAAGGACCCTTGTGATTACACTGGATTCACCCAGTAATCCAGGATATTTTCCACATCTCAAGATCTTTAATTTAATCTGCACATTCCATGTTGCTAGGCAAGGTAACATATTCAAAGGTCAGGTTTGAGATATGCATAACTTTGAGACACATTATTAAGGCATTATGATGTCCACCGTATAGCCACCATAAACAGAATGAGATCGTCAAGGAAGATGTGGATCACCAACCACACAAATATTGGGGATGAATAAGACTGTCCTTAGTAGATGACCAAAAATATATTTTAAAAATGCTTTCTATATATGGGCTAGCATTCATGTAATTTACCTTTTTTTTTTCTAAAAATGGAAAGTTGTCTTGTATTTTTACTTTGTGTGCTTTGCTTCTACATTATAGTCCCCTAAATATGTTAAATAAAATCAATTTTATCCTTGGAAGCCGGAGGCTGACAGTAGAGGGAGAGAGATTTTTCTTTCCTCGGTCATTCTCAAATTCCCTTTTCAATCTCTTCTCTCCTGTCTGCTCTCTCACAAGGATCTCTGGATGCCAACCAAGTGTCAAGCACTGTATAAGTTACACTGTGGGGACACAGAGATGATGACGATACAGTTTCTACTGTTTTTTTTTTTAATTTTTAATGTTTTATTTATTTTTGAGAGAGATAGAGACAGCATGAGCAGGGGAGGGTCAGAGAGAGAGGGAGTCACAGAATCTGAAGACAGGCTCCAGGCTCTGAGCTAGCTGTCAGCACAGAGCCCGACACGGGGCTCGAAACCCAGGAACCATGAGATCATGATACCTGAGCCAAAGTCGGTTGCTTAACGGACTGAGCCACCCAGGTGCTCTGATACAGTTTGAACAAGGACATAAAGGCTATGAGAGAACACGCAAGGCATAGTAGGAAGATAGGGTGGCACCTAGATCACTCAGCCTCCCAGGGCAGGTTTCCTGGAAGAGGTGATGTTTTTAGTTGAACCTTGATGGATACAGAAGTTATTCAGGCAGATAAGGGTAGGGATAAAGAGATGGTGGTGGAAGTAGAGGAGACATCAGTTAACGATATGTTTTTTGTTTTGTTTTGTTTTTCGCATGAGAATGGAAGAGACTGTGGTTGATTGCCCTTTCTTGTCTGGTGGTATTGAGGTGCGGGAGAATGTGTAATCTTCAGCAAGAGGCAAAAGAAACCTTGTTTGCCAGGGGAGAGTCCAGGTTTCAGTTAAGGCCATTTGTTCTCAAGCTTGGATGCACACTGCAGTCTCCTAGGGAGAGTGCAACAAACAAGCCAATTGTTTCTGGGTTAGACCTCAGACTGACTGCATCAGCCTCTGCAGTGGGTGAAGTTCAAGCATTTTTTCTTTTAAGTTCTTTTAATGTGCAGCCAGGATTGAAAGTCATTGGTTGAGCTAAGATAGAGCAAAACATATGAAGGTGTTGGCAAGTGTTTGTAGACAGTGGAATGGGAGTTATAAGGGAAAGGGTGAAGAGGGAAGGGAGAAAGAAGAAGGGAGGCTTGGTTTTCCCAATACCATGTATTGAAGGGATTGTCTTTGCCCCATTGTATATTTTTGCCTCCTTTCACATAGATTAATCGGCCATAGTGGTTTATTTTTGGGCTTTCAAGTCCATTTCATTGATTGGTGTACTTTTTAGCGTGCCAGTAACAGAATGTTTTGATTACTACAGCTTTGTTGTATGCTTTAGAATCTGGGATTGTCATATCTCCAGCTTTGTTTTTCCTTCTTAACATCTGGATGTTCAAGGTCCTTACGGTTCCCTACAGATTTTTAAAATTTTTTTTTGTTCTAGTTCTGAGAAAGATACTATCAGTATTTTGATAGGGAATGCATTGAATCTGTAGATTACTTTGGAAGTGTGGGCATTTTAACCATATTAATTCTTCCAATCCATGAACACTGGCCAGCTACACGTAAAAGAATGACACTGGATCACTATCTTATACCATACACAAAAATAAAATCAAAATAGAGTAAAGATCTAAATGTAAGATCTGACAGCATAAAACCCCTAAACGAAAATACA